TTACAGACTCCAATTCTTTGCTTCCGCTTCTTTTCCTTTTATTCACAAATTCAGATTTGTTTTAATTTACTTTTCTTTGTAGTGTCTTGTTGGTCTATTTTCCTTTTTACTGCTATCCTGCAGTTCTTGCTTCGAACTCCTGACTGGTACCCTTGTACCCCTCCTGTATCCCGTCCCCAGTCCCTGCCTCCAGGGCTACATCGGGGCACCCACCACATCCAACCACCGTCAGCGTTTGTCGTCCTGTACTCCTAACCAGCACCTTCTTACCCATCACCCCTCTCCCCCTCCCCCTCCTTCCTGGCACACTATCTAGCAGCCAGACACTGGGCAGCACTGGGTAAAGCTCCAGCAAGCAGCGACGCGAAATAGTGTTGGCAGAGATGTTAGAGCAAAGCGCTGGAAGGTCCAAGCACCACAGATCATCATCAGCCGGTCCGAGCCGAGTTTTTGTAATTGCCCAAAAACTCGGCTCGGTTCGGCTGATGATCTATGGTGTTTGGGCTTTCCAGCGCTTTGTTCTAACGTCGCGGCAAACATTGTATCGCCTCGCTGCTTGCTGGAGCTTTACCAGACGAGCTGGGTGGCGCTGTCCAGTTTGTGGGGACTCGATCGTGTGGCCGGGGAGTGATGAGTGGGAGGATTGGACGTGGTTGTTGGTTGGTATTTGCCCAGGTACAGCACAGAGAGTACGACTGAGGCCAGGATAGCGGGGAGGAATGAAGTTGCTGGTTAGAAGTTCAGAACGATAAACGGTGACAGTGGTTGGAGGTGGTAGGTGCCCCGATGTCGTTCTGGAGGCAGGGGTTGGGAAGAGGATACAGGAGGGAAAGAAGAGTGCCAGTCAGAAGTTCGAAGCAAGAACTGCAGATAGCAGTAAAGAGGAAAAATGAACCGACACGGCACTACAAAAAAAAGTAAATTAAAACAAACCTGAATTTGTGAATAAAAGGAATTCATTTACTGAAACTTATGCTTAGGTGAAGCTGAGGGCAAATAAGTTGGACAGGATTTACTGAAGCTTATGATTAGGTTACGCGGGCGGCAAATAATTTCGACAGGATTTACTGAAGTTTATGCTTAGGTGAAGCTGGAGGTGAATAATTTCGACAGGATTTACTGAAGCTTATGCTTAGCTGAAGCTGGGGGCAAATAAGTCTAGTTGGATTACATAGGAATTGCAGACATTTCCACAGTGTTGCCTTTTGCAACCTGCAACTGTGTACAACAGTTATACTTTTGTTTTTTGTCTTCAAAATCTCACAGAAGCAAGGGCTGACTTCATCCCCATGCATCCGTCCTACCCTGTTTTTGCCCACTTCATGGAACTTATTTACTCTCAACTTTACCTACGCATCAGTTTCATGAAAAGGAAAGTCTGACGACGGGTTTTTGTTGAACAGCTTTTCCTAAGCATCAGTTTTATAAATAGGGCTTTTTGTTGAACAACTTTCCCTAAGCATCAATCACATAAATAAAGAAGCCTAATGACGGATTTTTCTGGAACAGCTTCACCTAAGCATCAGTTTCATAAAAAGGGAAGTCCCAGGAGCACACTTCCTCATTCTTTCTTTTCTTCACCGCTCCCCTCTCCCCTCAAATGTACGTTACTTAGTCAGTCGCCAAAGGATCTACGCCATTTAATCCTTATGTCCACCTATCCTAACCCCCCTCCCTCCCTCCGCCTCGAACGAAACCCGCCACATCCGAATCCCGCTTCCATCTCCCACATTCAAACTGCCGCCATCGGCCACGTGGCAGCCCTACCTGCTGTCGGGATAAAAAAATTTTTTGCGGCTTGTGTATGAGACGAGCCGAGTTATTGGAATCGCCTTTTGTGCAACTGATTGCAGCAGCCGTTGCGATTGCCGCGTTGCTGCTGTGAGATATTACAAAGTGTTGTCAAGGCGCCGGTGAAATTCCATCGTTTTCGGCTTGCTTTGGTTGGTTCATCTCTTCTTGATTGACCGATATAAGCTGGCGCTGTTTTTGACAAATTGATCGAATTTCTCAAGGCCCCCGTTCGTAGGCGCTCTCCAGCGGCAAGCGCGCACAAATTCTGAACTGCCCGGTTTCTTCAGGCAAATCCTAAGAGGGAATTCATTTGCATGCGCGCATTCGGTTTTCAGGCGTGCGCCCCTGCTGCATGAGCTGCTCTTCTGCTGGCAGCTGAGCGCACACACATTCGGGCTTCTGAACTGCGCAGCGAGCTTCAGCCTCGCTGAGATCCAGTTTGCCCCTCCGCCTTCACCCATAACGGGCGCGCATCGTGAATTTGATCGCCGCTTTTATCCCTCTTCACTCCTCAACGGCCCGATCCCAGCACTGACAAATGTGATTCGGGCGGCTAGTGATGACGAACAGCGTCCTCTGCCGGAAGGGTAGTAATTTATAGCGCAGGATCGCCGTCTCGTGATAGTGGCACTGATTTCACGAGCTCATCAAATATTGTGCTGCGAGAGATGGAGAAATTTCCCAAAAGCGGTTTTTTTTGCAGGGCCAAATTGCACGGTCCGGACGATAAAACTGATGGGTTCCAACCTGCGTTTTTTTTTTCACTCTGCTCCTCTGTATTTGCTAGACTTTTCATGCGTTTTTTGCTCTAGCAAACCGAGCTTTGTCTGCCCCCCCCCCCCCCCCCCCCCCCCCCCCCCCCCCCCCCCCCCCCCCCCCCCCCCCCCCCCCC